TTTTTTAACTCAGTATATCATGGGTCATGCATCAAAGGGTTAATCATGATTCACGGTTAATTATTAATTATTTTTTTCAATCCTGTATATTACCGGAACTGAAAGACAACTAACACCAGCTGCAAATCAGCATAAAAAAAAAAAACTCCATCAACTGTTCCATCTACAGATGTTTCTTGTGTGTCACTCCCAACTGTCACATTTTCTCCAAAATAGTCTGAGCAGCAGGAAGACGCAAACTCTGCATCCTCAGGTGAAGATGCTCGACATCTGCTCGCGGTTCTCCCTGCTTGCCAGCAGGAAGCATGTCATGGGAGATCAGATAACGCAAGGAGCAGCAAAGGCATTACGCAAATGCAAGCGTTTCATCTGGAAATGTTGTGCGACAGAGGTGAAAGGCAGACGGGGACACTGCAGAGCTGGAAGACGGCAGAGAAAAGGACAGACGACTGACAGGAGCAAAAAGCAAAAAAAAAAAAAATGAATCAAGTGAAAATTTACAGCCGAAGATAGAAAGAGAAGATGAAGCCCAAGATAGGGAAGGGAAAAAAAAAAAAAAAAACATACGATGGGCAAACAAAAGACGAAAGAGAGCAGAAAACGACAGCGAGGACAGGAAGAAATTAAGTGCAGAGAGAAGACGAGTGACAGAGGAAATGGTGCGAGCAGAGAAATGGAGAGAGTCTGAGGGCTGAGCACACATTTAATCTGCTTCCCCGCACGGTGTCCACCTGCTGCTGCCCTCCACATTACCATCAAACACACAAAGTCACACGCAAGTGACTCCACGCCAGCGCACGCCAGCGCACGCCAGCACACACCCAGCGGGTGTGTGAGCGCACTCGAAGGCACAGAGCGGAGTAATGTAACAAATCCGCAGGAAGACACGGACTCCTCTCTACAACTTTAATCGTCTGTGGAGGATGCAGCACTCCGAGTTGGTGATGCTGAGAAGATTGGGGGGTTTCCTGGATGCCTTCATCCCCGCACACCCCCCGACTTTTACACAGAGTCAGCGTTCACAAAAATAACTAAAAAGAAACTTGACAGTGGTTTGTTTTCACAGCGGGATTGCGTTTGGGATTGCATTTTTAGAGCGAGTCTAAATACGGCTAACATCGACTTTCAATGTAAAAAGAAATGGTAGTAGAATAATGGAATTTTTTTTTTTTTTAGATTTGCACTTTTGACTTTTTTTTTTTAACGTAACATCCCAGATTCGAATGTAAATAAAATGAAAATAAAAAAAATATATTAAAAGCTACATCACAATGTAGGTATTTATTCAGTTATGTCAATTACAAAGCATCGATCTACAACGGGGTGTCAAACATACGGCCCGCGGCCCAAAATCGGTCCGCTACGGGATTAAAAACTACATCACAATGTAGGTATTTGAATGCTTGATGAATTTTGAAAGTAAAAAAAAAAAATTTAAAAATCACAAAATGTTTGTGATGTTTTGTCAAATGATATTTCATTAAATATTACTATTTTCTAATACAGAGTTATTGTTTTTTTATAGGTCCAGGTGGTGTGTGGCCCCTGAACCAAAATGAGTTTGACACCCCCGATCTACGAGGCTTCCATAACTCACAACAACAACTATTACTGCATCATCACCTATGCTGATGACACTCAACTGTACTTCACTTGTCCCTACAGAATTACGCTGTTTTACTTCCACTCACAAAGAGTGTCCGAAACAAAATCAATGAGTTTTCGAAATCTTGTTGCCGAGGGGGCATTTAACGGCCTCGAAAGCACGTACATCTCAAAGTCACCTGTTAGCTGTTAGCCAACGAGACCTGTCAGATTACCAGGGACAGGTTCAATTGTAACTTTTTTTTTTTCTCCCAGGGTCAAAACCAATCAGTGTAAAATAGGTTTTAGTTACAAAAACATCCCGACTGTGGGCCGACTGCCTGAGCAGTTCGAGTTGTCATCCCGTATCAGTGCAGCCATTTATCTTAATTCTTTAGTCCAACGATCCCAGGAGCCCACCTCAATCTTTGACGTTGTTTACTTCGACGTTGGGTTTTCGTCTGTTTGTTATCGTCCAAACTTTCATTGTACCTTATATACAGTAGCAACCCCCACCAGTGAGGAGCAAAGAACCAGTCCGTGCCTAAGCTCAAGAACTCACACTAAAGCAGAGGAAGAGGAAGAGGAAGAGGGAGTGCGTGTGAGAGCACGCGCTGTCTCGAAACAAACAGCTCCTGAGCACGAGCGGAGAAAAACTGCTCGACAGAGGAGAGAGGGGACTGAGAATACGAAATCTAAGCGTGAAATGAACAAATAATGTTCTCCAAATTAAAGGCTGCGCTCCTGACTACAAATAAGCCGGCGTAATTGATTTCTTTCACCCAACTTGGCACAAGAAACAAAAACATTCTTATCAGGCTCCTTAGGGTGTGTGACGCCACAGTGAAATAACAGCAGTGAGTTAAAAAACAAAAATCTTTTTTTAACTTTGGGTAAAAGTTCCGAGGCAGAGGAGAACTGTCATTGTCCATTACTTGATCCCAATTTTAGCCTCTGTGACATTCATTTGCATATCAATGTGATGCTAAATGTTCCGGATTTTTCTGTATTTTAAGCGACTCCGCAAGTGTCACTTCCTGACATTTTTTTTATACTTTTCAAAGTAATTAGGACTTGCGGCATTGCCAAATACTAAGAGGTGGTGATTATGGTCATAACAATTTACATATCTATTATAATTATTGTGTGTATATATATATAGTTCTAGATCAGTCATGGGCAAACTAAGGCCCGGGGGCCAGATGCGGCCCGTTCAGTTTTTTAAATCCGTCCCGCCAAATTTTTTCTAATTATAGAATTTATTTATATTATCATTGTACTTCTGCCTTTTCCCTGCAATACCCCTGTTTCCCCACTAGATGGCGTAGAAAATGATAACAGAATTTTATGCCATAACGCATGTCATTTATCTTAATACACACGAACGCTCCATCTATCTGCTCCTGACATAGTGACATAGTGAAGATTTGAAAAATAAATATTTAAAAAAATATATACATAAACACAAATTTTATTTCCATTTATGGTGGGGGGGGGGGGGGGGGGAC